TGTGAAAAAGAAAAATATATATATATAAAAAAAAAATCCTAGTAATATTTCCCTCCATTTCAAAACAGTTGTCAGTGTCCACCATGTAACTAAGGGACTGGTGGTCATCTGGAGGTTACAGGAGCTGCAGTGGAATGAAACAGAAGCTGTTGCTCTATTAGCACTCCAATAGTCTTGGGTGTCTCTAAGAATAATCGCTGTGCCCATCGCTCCGTTTGTGCGGGCATGTGTCCGTGTGGCCAGGCGTGTGTTAGGGAGTGTCTGGTTTCTAATGATGGTCATCCATAATTGAGTTTTGCCTCACAGCGAGGGGTGGGGTGGCAACTGGGTTTCAGCTGCTCTCTGGGACGGCGTGTATGTGTCAGGGGGGGTCAGCGGCGCACAAAACGTCCAGCAAGACTGGACAGTAACTCGAGCCCAGGGCTGTTTTATAGATGCCACGTCTGATTAACTGTCAGTTCAGGATCAACACCAGCTAATTCATTAAAGGACGTCCTGTCCAGTTTGGGACACAGGCTGCTAAAGCTCAGCGCATGACTGCTCAAAGCACTCAACAGGCTAAAGCCCAAAACAAAAACAAGCCGTCAGTCAACGAGGATGTTTATTGTCCTTTATTCTACCAAGTTTTTAAATATATCATCTGCATCAGATGCAGGCTGGAATTAAATGGATTGAAACACAAATCCCAGGGCAGGATTCAGTACAACAAGGTACCTTGAATGAAGAGTATGATCTACTGCAAACACAGACTCTCAGAGATAACCAAGGGTTTCAATCCAGACTTTGACTAGGCCATTCTAACACACATTATTTTCCCTCCACATTAATGATTTTATTAAGTTTTAAACTGTTTGAATTATCTTTTCCCACACATTTAAGGTGTTCTTAACATGACCTGAAGCACAAGAGATTCTTATCTTGTTTTTCTTGCTACTCTGCCATGTTAAACAGATTACTGGGATGAACTTCATGCATTTTTTATGCAGTCTTCTCTAAAACCTTGCATCCTCGCTCAGCCTGCGAGTTTAGTTGGACCTCCACGCTTGGTTTGGTTTACAGTTGTGCCATACTCCTATTTTTGGATGATGGACTGAACAGTCCTCTTAGATATGGACACTGGTTTATAACTTAACCTCCATCTTTAAAACTCTCCACAGCTTTCTCTCTGACCAAACTGCCATGCTCCTTGGTCTTCATGATGCTCTTTGTTCAGTAATGCTTAATAGAGGCATAGCTAAATTTCTGCTGAGGTTGAACTTAAAGAAGGTGGACTGAATACATTTGTGTTTTATAAATTAGAGTCAGAGCATCCTGCAGTATTAGCATATTCTCTGAAAATTAAGTTATTTGCAGACCCAATGCACAAAGGAACTTCCCAGATTAAATAGAAGGGTTGGGTGATTATATAAGACGTTAATTATAGATAATCTTCAACTTTTCTCACGATTCTTCAGGTAAGTCCAACTATTTGAAGCTTATTTACCTCCACGTCAACCTTCCCCTGTTGGCCTTTCATATCTTCCCAGTGAGACTGATTTAAAGCTTTCTATGTGTGCTAATGAGGTAAACGAATAATAAAAAGATAGGAATAAGCCATTGGTGCCAGACAAGCTTGCAGGCACAAATATCTATCAATTTCTACACAGTCAGTTAAAGAGAGCTGAGCTGCATGAGTCAGAGGTGTTAAGTTCAGCACATGCTTTTCATACTGTAAAAAAAAGCCAAATGCTGCTTTATCTGTGAAGCTCATTCAGGGGAAAAACTGTGCTGAAAGGATTTTTATGGCTTCCACTTTAATAAGTGCACAGCTTTAAGAAGCAGAAAGAAGGCAGAAGTCTGCTGATCTGAGACGCCACCTCCTGGATGTTCTCCAAAGCGCAGATTTTTGGATTCTGCTTCTTTTATTTGTTTTACCCTATAAATTCTAAGTTTATTACTAGTTAATGTAATACATCATGAATAAGAACAGAAGCAAAGCAGCTTGAGAGCATTGTTTGAATGTAGCCATATGTAAGGATTCATGTACAGAGGGATTAAAAGTATGTTATTCAAATCTTATTTTGGCACTATTATGGCATTCAAAGGTTTCACATGTTAGGATATACATTTTGCATGTTTTTTTAAATCAGCAAGAGCTACAATGGAGGAAGGGTGAATTGCTTTAAAGAGTTTGTGCACCAACAGGCACCAAGACTGTGCCCTAATGAAGACTATAATGGCATAATGTACTGCCAGTGCAGAGCTGCTAAATATTTAACTTTATTGAGAAACACAGAAAAGCAAAGACTGGTATAAAAGTATAACTTTAAAAATAAACTAAAGATCTGCAGGATTATTAGCGGATATTAGCAGAGTACGAGTCTAAAACCTAAAAAAGTGAATTCTTTTTGTTTAATCCAACGTGCTGGGCTTGCTTTTGATTCAAGGAACTTTTTTTTTAACTGTCCAAGCAGGCTGTAATTAAAAAGCTGGATCAAAATGTCTTCCATGAGCTACTTGCATTATAGGACACGTCATAAGGGAAAAAAACTATAAAAATTACGAAATTATTATAAAAATGCCTCATAGATCTGAACAATGATGTCAGGAAACCTATATTAAAACCACAGACCAGTTCTTAGTAAATGAATGAACCTGATTCATTCATTGATCCCAATTTGCTAAAAAGAAAAAAACTGTTAAGTTATTAAATTACTCAAGCTGTTCCCTTTTCTCCTAAAAATACATACATGTAAAAACACAATTTGTAACACTATAAGACCTTTTGGCCATGTTCATTTTAGTCTCAAACATGCCTTAGAGTAACAACCAGCCTGGAGCCTGATCTTATACTAAGATCAAACCTTGATCAGAACATTAAGCTGCAGACTGAGGGATCCAAAGCTTATAATCGGGTGCCAAAATAAAAACCTTTTTCTTTTAGTGAAGCCATTTAAGATTTTTTTTCATAATAATGTTAAATAAAACATGCCTTAACAATACTCATCTAAAATTGAAATAAAACAATATAGATCTACTGCTGGAATAGTTTCTCATGAGGTTGGTAAATAGTTCACTGCAGCTCTCTGCTGCCCACATGTGGAGACTAAAGGTAAAACAAGCAGTATAAGGTCCATCACCTTCTGAGAAAAGATTCAATTTGTTTCGGTTTGTTTGTTTTTTTTTTAAAGAAAATTAGCTTTATTTGTGTAGGAGCGCTCCCTATCTTCACCGTTAAATACGACAACACAGAAAAAAACCCACCACGATGCTCCAGAGTGGTTTCCAGAGCTGCAGGACACCAACAGCGTAGCTGTTTTTTAGACAGAGAAGCCCAGTGAGGGGTTTCTTTATAAAACAGAAAAATTATTATCCTTAGATCGTTAAGGAGCCAGGACTGTCAGCTCAGCAGCATGAAAACTCATTCTCTTGGTTTTATTAAATGGCACAGTTGTTCTCTCCCAGGTTATACCTGATGTACAAATCCCTTACTGCATCCAGCAGTGCTTGTAGTGTTCACAAGGCAGGACGTTCCATCTACAAGTACTCAGTCTTTTGACAGAAAATCCCACTGGAAAACATAATGGATTTGATCCAAACAGACCTTAACGAGGCAAAAATGAAACAAAAACCACAGAGACAGTGTAAGTGCTGTAGACAGCTTTGTAGATTGCAGTGCTGATTGGCATGGTGTCCCAACTCACAGGAGAAATCTGCCTACCGTTTAAACACTTGGTTTAAAAATGAAGTTAAATAATAAAACAGTATTTACACAGACATTCAAACATACAGCGTATACAGTCATACTTCGCAAACAGATCTGTACACATGGAGCTGTACAAAGCGGACAGTGCATATACCCATTAGAAATCACAGCCTTTAACACATAACAACAATCATCAGTGTCCACACAGATGGGCTTTGTGAAAGGAGCTATTACAATGCAGCCACTACAGCACCTCAGTAAACCACAATGAGCCACTTAACAGATCGTAACTCACGTTAGGAAAAATGTGCAGCGTTGCTTAGTAACCATTCGTTCATCTGCAAAGCATGAGACAAATGCGTCTCCTATTCGTTTCAGATGGAGCTTTGAACTAAACAGGACCTCATTTTACCACTTGGGGAAGGCTGAAAGAAAAACAGCGTTTTCAAACTAAACTAAAGCTTTTTAAAACTAAAACATTTTTTGTTACAAACTAACAGTTTAAAGTTGTTCCTAAGAGGTCGAAAATGACTGGATTTTTTTCCCCATTTGTAATAAGCCTCTCCCCTACTGATTGCTGCACACTGCTGGTCAGCTGGCTGAATGGAATAATAAAAACGACACTCATTGTCTGGGAACAAAGTGCGCCACCTTCACTGAATAAAGTTAGCGTGGTTTACAAGTTCAGATGGGAAGCTATAAGTGACGTGGCAGTTAAACAGCCAGCTACAGGCCTTTTTCCCTGGACCATTAACCAGAAATAGCAGATTGTTATTCCCTAAAATAAAAACAAAAACTAAATGGAAACTAGGGATAGAATTTTGTGAAGTAAGCACCTAAAAACAAGCTTTAAATCAATTTCTTGTTTTAGACAAAAACATGTAAAATATGTTTTTGTTTTATAGTTTACCATCAAAATACAATATTACTCCCTCTAGGCTATAATGACATTCGTTACTCCATGGTTTAAAACAAGATGTTTAACATGATCACATTTTTATTCTTTAAAGCAAAAAGGACATCCATATGCATTCCCTTCGCTGCTTAAATAATGCAATTTATGGATAATTAGAGTTGAAACAATAACATCTTATTAATTTGTTTTTATATGGAATGTTGATACAGATTGAATACAGACATTTTTTATTAAAACATCTGATAAGGTAGGAGTGGTTTCAGGTTCTTATTTCACCAAACATCCCTTTTATTATGGAGAAAGAGATAAAAGCAGCCTGATCATTCAGGCTTTCTGTTCAGGTAGCACTTTCCAAATAGTCAAAATTTGGAGTGACAAGTTAAGAAAATTAACTGCCAGCAGTGCACAGCAACAGGTAGGGGAGGGTCAAAGCCATATTTCTCTAATAAAAACCTGGAGAACATGTATTATTCCAGGACTTTCCTGACTTAATTTGAAACTTGTTCTCAGTCTTCATTCAGTGCTTTGTAAATATTCTGACTTTGTTTATAACTGATCCTGACAGACGCACTGACTGGAGCGTCTTTAGTTCTGAGCAAGGATCCGTCTCAACAAACCTAAACCGTCCTAAAAGAACACCTTCCAAATCTGAGACAACAGATGGAAAAAATGCAACCAGACAAGATCTACGCCGGACCGTAGAAAACGAGCGAGGTAACGTCTGCGTGACGGCAAGCAGCGTGTTTTTGCGCTGTTCTGTGCGGAGGCTTGGTCCCTCAGAGTGAGTCCGCTCCACTGGCGGTTTTTGGACGCACTCTTCATTCAAGTGCTGCGCAACATAACAACTAACGCTGACACAAATATAAGTAAAAAAAAAAAATCAAACCAAAAGAACGAATCAGCATGAAAACCACGACACCTCAGAGGGAAAGGGGAGAGCTGGTACCCGGATAGAACAAAGGAAGGTTAGCAAAACCTGATTGGTTTATCCCAGTTAGTAAATAATAAAATCTGCTGTAACCACAGAGCCTCATGGAGAATTAATTAGAGTGAAAGGTCTATAATATTTTACAGGAGGAAATCCTCGTTTGAGCTTCTTTACTCAATTTTTACAAACCCCAAACAATGGTCTTAATATATATATATATATGTATATGTATATACACAAGAAGTTATTAACAATTATCACTGATGGAAGATTAAAAAAAAAAAATAATTAAATTCTGGACAAAACTAGAACCGTAGGAATCCAATGTTCTGTTTCCAGGTTTGATCGACATCACTCCTTCAGACGGGTCCCCTGAAAAGGCTCCCCCTCAGGGCACTGCTCTACATCCATAATACTATGTGGGTTCTCTGTATTTAGAGACAGCTTACCAGTATTATCTTCATTTTCAATTGTGCAAACCTGATGGAGCAGGCTGTACGGAGTTTAAGATGTTGATTCAGGACTGAGGTTAAAATTAGCTTCAGTTTGATTATTGAGGTTAGAATAATGAGGTCCTGAATGCTCTGGGTGATGAGGGCCTCCGTGGAGTGTGTCTTCTCACTGCTCAGGTCCTCACCATCGAAGCACATTTCCGTAGGAAACAATAGCACCTCATTGGCTCAAGTCAGCCAATCAGCAGTGAAGGAAGCCTGAGGCCCCGGGGCCAACCCCGTTGTTGTGAACAGAGTCTGATTAGTTGCTTTGGGAATGTGTATTTATGAGGAGGGCCACTGTCTGTTCACTCGAAGCGTCATTGTGGGGGGAGGGACGGAGGGAGGTGGGGGGTTTTAGGGTGAGGGTGAAGTGTCGAACAGAGGAGCGGTTTAAACCTCTGCTGCTGTCAGGCCGATTCGTTCCTCCTCCTGTCAGTCTCGATTGGGCTTCTTCAGCGAGAAGGCAAAGATGTTGAAATGATCACTGAGCTGCTGCACCTGGCAACAAAAAACAAAAACAAATCTATTTCTAATTCCAGATATGATTTCATGATGACTTTAACAGGGATGGACAGAGGTCTGCAAACCACCAGTGAGATACAGGCTGTTTTTCAAGCCTTCTGCTCAAATTTGTCTTATTTCTATTGGTTTCCATTTAATAAAACTCCAAAAAAACTCCTGGCATATTTTTACAGAGTAAAAAGTTATTTACTGTCAAATAGAAAGTTGATTGTTTTAAAGTAGGGATGCGGCCGTTCCAACTGTTGCATTTGTGCAAGTGAGAAAAAGTGAATGCGATTGGTCATTTATCAAGGGGGCGGGATTGTTGTGGCTGAAGGTTCACAAACAAGTTTGACTGCAGCCGGTTTATCGGAAGGATCTTGCTAACCAGTTAACCAGTTAGCAACTTAGTGCTAGTAGGTTCCCAATGGGAAATTACATTGGGACCAAGTAGCACTTAGAAACGACACTGTCAAGGAACGCTATGGACAGCAGAAACATGCAAGAGGAGGAGAGTTTTGTGTCAGAGGTCGTCGATGAGTCTCCTTCATCATACAGTTATTATTTAGAAGAGGAAAGTGGGGAAAAAGATGTTGTGGAAAAGGACGCCAGGGCGGCAGAAGCTTGGTTTGGTGTAGAAGGCTTACAGCCGTACATGTTTGAGCCCTTCCCTCACAACGCTGCCAGTTCTGTTAGCTCTACGCCTGCTGAAGACACAGACGTCCATCCACGTGAACACTGGGATGGAACTCAATAGTAAAGTAAATGATTCTTATTTCAACCGTTGCGTATATTAGGTGAAACATATTAATCAAGATGCTATGACAGAAAAAAATTGATTGACAGATGACCGTTAATATAAGATTGGCCAAATTTAGGTGTAGCAGCGGACGTATAAATATCTGGCCTGCATAAGATAACAATAAACCCCAACAGCCAGAATGATTTGACATTTTAATATAATTTCCCTACGACTTTAAATCATCGAATTTAAATGAGCATGAAAAGCCCAAACAAAGTACAGCAGCAAACATTCTCTGAGACTTAAACAGAAGAGTTCCCACAGTGAGGCGTTCAGGAACTTTCTGAAATAAAACTAATCATCTAAGAATATGTACCACGGCTAATCAGCTTTTCTCATTTATTTCACAGAAAATACACCTTGTTCTATTCTAACTGATGTCCAGGGGCGTCTTTTTAAATCAGAGTCGTACTCAGGGTGTGTTTATGGTCATCTCACAGTAATTTAGTTAACGATCTATTCTATCTTCAGTTTTAATGGTCCACTAGTTCACCCTAAATTGGTAACTTTAAAAGCTCATTTAATTCCTTGACATGTGTTTTAACAGAGTTCAGCCAGGCTCATATGGAAACCTTAGCCTGTTCTAAATTTTACACATATAGATTTTATACATAAATATACTTTATACAATAAATAATTTTGCTTTGATGGTTTAATTCTTTTTGCAGGTTTAAGCCCATTTATTTGATATAAGTTTAGATAGGCAACTTTTTTATGATACTAAATCTTCATTCTAGTATTTTCTGCTTTTTTAAAGATGTAGAAAACACACTGTGCTTTAAGGATCAGCTGTTCACTTTTATTTCTATTTATCCATTTACTGATGACCAACATAATGCCAAACAATTGGTTTTAAACTTGTTTTGTCATCAAACTAAATCACTGACAACAATTAGGTAAGTCTTTAACAGACACTATTACCTCAACAGTTCAATCTCAATCTAGTTCAACCAGGTTCCTCCCATAGAAATGAGGGCTGGTCATATTCTTTGTAGTGTTGCACCGATACCGATACCAGTATCGGACGGGCCCCCGATACTGCCCTTAAATGGTGGTATCGGCGAGTACCGACAAATAGGGCACCGATACCATTTTGAGAGCCATAAGTTTATTCAACTATTGTCACCCACTCCTGGTAGGCAATAAAAAGTTCTACTGGATTCACTTTGTATTAGATTTTTTCCTGCTTCACAAAGGTAGGCAGCAGCTCGACAAAGCCATGATGGCAATTATTTTACGTTTTTATGGTATCGGCCGATGCTGCACAGCCAGGTATCGGGTATTGGTATCGGGGCCAAAAAATGGCATCGGCGCAACACTAATTCTTTGTAAGATATGTTTATAATGTGAGCAATTTAGGAGCTCAAATAAACCTGCAGCTGAAATTTGACTTCTTGTAGCACATTTCCCTTATCATCTTTATTTTTTAAATAGACTGAACCATATGCAGAGACTACAGCTGTGCCATATATCTAACCTAAAACAGAAACTTACATTTCTTCTTCGATTGATTTATTGAGTTTTTGGAGCACATCGTAGAAACGGAAAGAAAGAGAAACATGTGCTTCATATATCATCTTATAACTGGTGGAGTTTCAAAGATCTTATATAACATCCACTATATGTCATCATTTGTTTCTATGCTTGACTTCCCGGCATACCCTAACATAAGATTAGAATTAGCTTAGCCGCAGGAAAGTACGTCATTTATTCCAATAAATACCATGTGATTTCTACAGTAGTGCATTCCTGCTATATATAATCTCCAAGCAACAGTTTCATGAAATTATCTTTTCCACACAAAAAGTTTAATCCTAGTTTAAAGGCTAATCTATGATAAAATTGTGACTGTGTGTGAGTGGGAGCTCTTACCACAGATATACCATAGTGTATGTGTGCGAGTATGACAGCGGCGGTCCACAGATAAAGCAGCAGCGTCTCGTTGGTGACGACCCCTGTGACAACTGAGCCCACAACCAAGGACATTGGCAGCAGCAGCCAGGTCAGAGGCTGGCAGCGTGTGTTACTCATCTGACACACGATGAGCTTGCACTGAAGCAGAAATGCAAAAACATTAATAAAAACAACTGAATATAATAGTTTGGTGACGAGGGGAAACAAAATAGGTGAGGTACTCACAGTGACATTTGCAAAAGCTGTTCCCACCATGAGGTAGTAAATTCTGGGCTGCAGCTCGAGGATATTGGACGGAGAGAAGACAACCCAGGTGGTGGACAAGACGAAGAGGAGGATAGGAGAAAGGAAAGGCAGGAAGGCTTCATACAGGCTGCTGTGCTTCAGAGTGTTGTTCCTGTAAGCCCTAGGAAATAAGGTAAAACTTTCTCAGTACTGTGACCTGTTTGACTTTTTCACATCGTAACATTAGACCCAGAACATTCAAGGTGCTGTGTGGAAATCTTACTTTAGAGACAAACACAAAATAGAACATAAGTGTGAAGCCAAAGGTTTTTCGGTGGCTTTATTTATATTTATATATATAAATAACAGTTGAAAAGTGTCCAGAGTCAATGCTTGCTGATGCAGTTCAGTAGTAAGCCTTTAGGGGGCGTGCTTTTACCACATTTGGAGACAGAGACATTTCTGATCAATCTTTCAAAAATAGCTCAAGGTAAGCGCAGATTGAGAGAATATTTAATATGGATTTTAATTTGGTTTAATGTCTGTCAAATTGTTTCTGTATCTGGCCACTTCAGCATCATGAATCCTTTAAATTAACTTTAGATTTTATCATTTCAGTCACAAAGAGCAAACTGCTGTGGAATTTTAACCTAACTACCATTTATTTGCAGTTTTGGCTACTTTGGACACTGTAAAGGAAGATGTACTTCTACTTTATGACATAATGTCTCTGAAGTGCGGGATAAACTGTCCCTGGTTGGAGTTAAAGTTTTCATGTGTCTGGGCATACACACTGAGCAACATCAGATGTGCATGCTAAGGCCTGTTTACAACAAGTTAAAAATCTGCTTTTACCAATATTAAACTGGTGGTAAACTGGGTATGATAGCATATTACATTGTTTATTAAAATAATAAGATTACAGCAGCAATTTCAATTACTTTACTTTTAAGTGAAAAAAACATGTTTTTCATGAGGTGTGCATTATGTGAGAGTCCAGGTTTGGCCAGGATGAGAGTGCTGCTTTGGAAGAACCAGAACATTTTGCTGACATTAAAACATTCACGTTTTGCACAATCAAATGTGTCCTGAAGCCTGAGATACGGTTTAAATTCCTCTTCCTCAGATTCTTTGTCTGTAATTTTTTTATTACAGGTTTTTAGCATTCCCGCTAACATAAATTATGTAATAGTTAAAGCATTTCACGATTATTATCAATAAATAAAAAGAAAAACTTTGTAAATGAGGACCTAGAATATTAACAAATCCGATTTAAATGTCATCCCTTTATCTGTAGAGGACTCAAAATGTCCCATAATGCACCGTGACAGGTAGTGTGCATTCATGGTGACTAGACGAGCAGATATATCCCAGAATGCTTTGCAAGAGCTGAGAATGAACAAAGATGGGACCGGCACAGAGTGGGAAGGCAGAGTCACGTGACCAAAGCAAAGTTGACAGTAGCAGAATCTGTCTGAATGGTCAGTTAACTTTTTTTTTCCTTTCACTTTTTAAAGCACTAATGGCTCTTTTTTTTTTGGACAGTAGGCTGACAGGAAAGGGGTTATGAGGGAGGGGGAGAGATATGCGGCAAAGGACCACAGGTCGGATCTGAACCCGGGTCGGCCGCGTCAAGGACTAACTCCTCTGTACATAGTGCATGCGCGCGAACCACTGTGTCACCAAAGCACGTCCTGATAGTTAACTAAATTCACTATAAAGTCCACTGTAAAGTCCCCGCTCTATATAGTGATTGAGGGGTTAGGGGACACAGGAGACCTCTGCTGCTGATGGCTAGTCTGTCCCAATTCACGGCTGATCACTTCCAGCCTTTGTTTTTTATGGAGGTCTTCCAAGGACCCGGTCTATGTAGCCTGGGTCCTTTAAAGGCTGCATTCCCTGAATTGGGTCACAGTAGGGGACAGGAGGAGCAGAAAGGGAGAGAAATAAAAGAAATAAGCATCAGCCAATGATGGAGCAAGCACTGCAGCTTCAGGCAGCCTGCCCTGCATGATCACAGCAGACAGAGACAGAAAGTGGAAGGCGGACAGAGGGATCCACTCACTCAAGACAGAGTTTGATGCTTTTTTGTGTTGTCGCCAAAGTCTCCATTGACATAGAAAACAGTCACTACATTTGGCTCTATGTGATTTTCTAAAGTCAAGCAACTACAGACATCTGAAAAGTTGCTAAATATAGCAACAAAAGCACTAAGTGGGCAACACTGTTGTGCTGCTTTAGGCTGCTAGAAATCTTTGAGGAACCAGTGAGGTTTCATCACTTGTTCCCTAAGTGTTTTCCCCGTACAAATTTACCATATGACTTTTTAGAAATTCCTTCTGATTATTATTTTAAACAAAAGACCAACTGATATATTGCTTAAATCAAGTCTGATTTATTTTCTGAGCAAAATGTGAATGTGCAACATGTTTCTCTGTAACTAAAATAGATAAGAACAGAAATTTATAATACTCACTTCCAGACGTTGTAGAGGCTCATGGGTAATGTCACAGCAAAGGAACAGGCTGGAAATCAACAGAACGCTTATTAAAATCCGCCAACGGAAGAACATAAACTCATTTTAGAGAACAAACACAACTCACATATGATCATAAAGGTAAAAAGATCTCTATAGAGAAAGGTGAAGATCACTGGCTGGTACCAGGTTTCCACTCCCACTACAGCAGTGACCAAGTAAACAAGCGAGATGGTCTAGAAGGATACAGGACAAAAGGACAAAAAGGGTTAATAAGGCAACCTACTGAAACCACGATGCCACTGCAGGTGTCATTCTGCATGGGTCCTCACCACTTGGCTCATGTCGTATCCCCAGGGCAAAAACAAGATGCCCGTGTTGTATTTCTCCCAGTGGGACAGGATGAAGGAGAACAGCACCACCCACAGGATGTAGTAGAGCACACCTACGCTTACGCCACTTTCCCCACGCCCAAATATGGAGTACACCGTGGCGACAAAGAAGATGCAGGCCCAGCTGTCGAGCCCATGGTCGAAGAGCTCCCCTAGTGGTGTTGAGGAATTGGTGCGACGAGCCTGCTTGCCATCAACACCATCTGGAACAAGCAGACATTCATTTATATGTTTACAGCTGTAGTTATAGAGACTAATAGTACAAAATGACATATCTTATACCTCAACTCAGATTCCTACATCACCACCTATGAAACTGCACACAATTTTATTTACTCAGATTCCTGCAGCAGACTTAAAAATAGAATTCCCATTAATCCAATAGCTAAGAGATTACTCTGCAAAGTCTTTGTAAAAATGTAATTCAAAAGGCTTAAATCGAAGTCAGCAGTGAAACAGCATGCTTAAAAAATACAATCGGCAGCACACAGGCTCGGGTATCATCTCAGATATTGTGTGTTCTGATTTCTGACTCCAAATGCTTTGTTCACACGTGCAGCTCATCATCCAGCTGCTGCTCAGTGGGACGCCCAAAGATGATGAAGGCAAGAGAGGTCAGGGGAGCTGCTCAGGGAACACAGTCCAATAAAATGAGAAAATCTAAGAACGAGGCGGTGAAGCCTGGGATTAAGAAGCAGACGTTTACAGAGATGTTTTAATAACAGAAAAAATGAGGATTCCTGTAATTATAACAGCAAGAGTGAACTTCATATTTCCTTATATTGATGTTGGTTGCAGGACTTATGCAACAAGGATCATTAATGCTGGATTTAATTTCATTTTGAGGCATTTACTCAATTACAAGGATTTTTTTTGCATAACTGTATAGTAGTAAAACCATAAATAAATAAATAATAACTAAAAGAAATGCCTTCTTAAGTTTTTTCATATGCTTGATTTCCTCTAATCCAAAAGACATGTAAAATTTAAACCCACTGAAATTATTGTATATTAAATGTCCTTTAGGCGGCAGCTCCGAAACCATCTGCTTTATCCAAAACGTGATTTTTGGATAGTCAAGCTGTTTGCTTTGACACAAAGTTAAAGGAATTTGAGGCAGTGCACCTTCTTCACTATCAAGCTTTGTGAACTGTACCAAAGTGGTACTGGTACAGCTCCTAAGCACTTTTTAAAGACCTTCTATGACTCTGTTGTGGCATCAGTCATATTTCATGGAGCCGTCTGTTGGAGCAGTGATCTGTATCTGAGAGAGAGCAGCTGGATAAACTCAACAGGAAGGCCAGATCTGTGACTGGATGCCCTCTGGACTCAGGAGGTGCAGAAACAAAGGATTCTAACTATATTAACATCTTTGTTGGATAATGTCTCCCACCCCATGGATGAAGCTGTTGCTGAGCAGGAAAGCTGCTTTAGTGACAGACTGCTGCACCTTAAATGCACCAGGGAGCGTTATCACAGATCCTTCCTCCCAGCAGCTGGAAGACTTTATAACCATCACTGTTCCCAACAACCTCAATAAGTTGTTACATTCATGCTGATTTTTGCAGTTTCTGTATTAGTCAGTTAAAAAACATGCTGCTGTCATTTTTGCACATCTCTGGTGTTGCTGCCATTTTTTTTACATATCCATTACTGTAGAAATGTCCACAGCTGTATATTGCTTATTTTTTCTCCAGATGCACAGTATTTGTATTGTAAAAACCCTGAACAGTACAATTTTGTTTATTTCCTTAACTCTTATCATTAATTCTGTTATTTTTATACAGTTTTCTAAGGTCCACATTTGTATGAACACTTTTGCTATAGTCTTTTGTTGCTATAAACACCAAAATTTTTCCATTGTGGGACAATAAAGGGATTTTCTATTCTATTCTTTTAAGAAAAATGGCAAAGCGTGGTACTACCACCACCATGCTTAAAGACAGGTGTGGTACACTGGAAGCCTCGCCTTAAATTCTCCCTGGTTTTTTATTTGATTGATGCCAAATAAATCAATTATTAAGCAATCTGACCATACTTTTTCCTTCAGGCCAATAGCCTGAAGATATGTGCAGCTGTGAATTTCAGTCATGCTTTAAAGAGTTTGCTTTAGAATAATATTCTTTCATGATCTGCTATCAGTCCACTACTAAAATGACTTTCATAAAGTCATTGACACAAGTGAAGATCTGCAAACTTTAGCACTAATGCTTCCTGAACAAACAGAATATTTAACCTGATATAAGCAGGGATTTGTATACATTTAACCCTGTATGTAAAATTTTGACCCTGCTAAGGTTAGGGTTAAATCGCAAACTAAGTTCAACATAATCTAATACTTTAAACAGTGTTCCCACACTTTGGTTAGCAACTAATACAACAAATAACCTTTCAAGGACTTTACAGGACCAAGTTCTTCAAATGCAAAACCCACGTGTGGAGGCATTTACCCACTGCTACTACTGAATATGTTAATAAATGGTTTTAAAATGATGGAATTCAACAGAATTGCTTAGAAGTTGTTGGATCAGAATCAATGAGAGAAAGTGGGTTGAATGTAAAGCCTACATTCATCTCCAGAACACAGAGACATGTCTATGATGGTGAGATCAGGCTTTGTTGAAGCTCTGCAGCAAATGTGCTCGAAAATGGTTTATTTACCAAAGCCTGGTTAAACCTTTAAATGCTCATGAAGGCCATATAGTTGTGAATTAATAAATATTTGACAGCAAAAGATTGACAACAGATAGACATCATGAAATGATGGACCTGGAGATAATTGCCTATTTTTTAGGATCCTTTGACAAAAGATTAGCTCAGCTAAGTATGGCAAGCCATATCTCAAGATATTTGAAAAATAGCATTTGACTGATTGACTCAACCTGAAAAGGAATTAACCAGCTCACTAACAGGGTTCCTACAGCATAAGGCAAGTTAAATTCAAGACTTTTTAAGACTTTTTAATGCCACTTGAAATAAAAATTTAAGACCAAATTCACAAGAAACACAAGAAAAACCTGCTTGGGACAACTTAACCCAAAGGTTTATTTTAACATAAACCACTGCACTAATGTTTCGAATTTTGAAAAACTTCCCACACAGGAAGAAAACTAAAAACACACAAATGACAGATATATTATTTAACTGAATTCACAAACTTTGTTTTAGCAGGGAACAAAACAAATCAGTTTTAAAGTCCCAACATAACACCACATGACTCCACTGCCTTAATTCCCATCGTTCTGAGCTTGGATGACTTCTTGCACAAAATACACTGTGCCTCATGTATGTCCCCTGGTACTGGTTTTAGCCATGCAGAAAACTCTTGGCTGGATAGACAATTTTCGTTACATTTACACTTGCTCATATTTTCCATACAAAAAGTTAATGGTGCATCTCCCAAATGTCTCGGCCGCAACAACGCTTTTATTGGTTACGCTATCGGGACAGAACCAATAATGGCGAGCCATTTTTTTTTTATATAAAAAAAAAAAGGTCAATTTTAATGTTTTATTTAGATTACAAAAATAAATCGTAATAAAAATAATCCTATTTATGATGTTTTAAAAATTAAGACCTACGAAAGACTGATTTAAGACATTTTAATACCAATTAAGGCCTTAGTTTTATTTTGAAGAATTCAATGCCTTTTAAGACTTTTTAAGGACCAGCGGGAACCCTGACTAATCCATGTCCTGCTAGACACACAGCAACTACACTGACCAGAAAACACAAGAAAAATGAAACGCCTGCAGAGGTCATTTTCTATCTAAAATCTTAATATGTGCATTTAAAATCGAAAATATGAGACTCATGCTCATGATGATTGGATGCATCTCACTGAGCGGATATTTACTGACTGCTATGCGTCACACTCAGGTTCTCAAACTGACAGCAGCTTCACATGTGACCCGTTCCCAAGTGTCTGAACCCCCACCGTCTGCACTGCTGGGTGGGACGGAGAAATAATAAACTGGCGACCAAACTGATTTTCTTAAGAGAGTGAGAGGGGGTGGAAGTAAGAAGGAGGGGAAAAAACAAGAGGGTTGGACTCACCAAGCGTGTAGGCTAAGAAGTTGAAGATCCCAGCTGCCACCCACACCCTGCTAGGCACATGCTGGTTTCCTGCAGCTGAGAAACAAGTCATGTTAGTACAAAACACAAAGACATACAATCTGAGACCCACCAACATATAAAACCACTTTATACTTTTCTTATTTGGTATAAATCCATCCAAATGGTGAGGTTATGTGTGGACAGGGTGTCCTTACAGAGGTCAGACTCATGAGCTTGTAAGGCAACGTGTGCTAAACATCTGTGTCAAGATGACACAACAGACTGATACACAACGCAGATTACTGTATTAGCCTTTGCTTCCTCATAACAGACACGCATTAACAAAACAACACTGATAAATGTCCTGTGTGTACGTGGAGGATTTAATAAGTCAACAATTATCCTGAGCAATCAAAGTCAATCTTGTTTCCATAAGAGACGGACCTTGCCCTGTATAAACAAAGAAGGAGCTTCTCTAACATTAGCCGCCATCTACGGTGTTTAAAGGCAAAATACACACAGTGGTCGTTTATGGACGGGAGGAATACAGTGATGAACCTACAAGAGGCAGTGAAGTCAAAGTCCCAGAAGGCCAACATCAAGAAGTTCAACACGAGGAACATGAAACCCGTAAATGTGATGAGGTTCGGAGCCAGCCATGTTGGTAAAAACTGTTGGTAGAGAAAAGGAGGTGAAATATAGCACCATTTTATCATCCATTTATTTTCTCTTCATCTACTGCAGTATGAAGCTTTACATTCCTTACTACCACACCACAAATATAGACGATTAAGAATGAATAAAGATGATATTTATTCTTTCATTTGAATAATTTTGGGTCAGGTTATGTATTTCTTCACTATAGTTTCCCTGCATTGTTTGCTGGATACCTAAAATCTTTCCCCCTACATCTACAGGGGGTGCAGACGTCATAAGGTGAAGAATTGATTGCTAAAGCTTTTAAAGTTTTCACAAAGTTTAACAAAACTATTCCTGATACTACACCAAGAAGCACAGTGATCCGTTTTTGTGGAAAGACAATGAATAGTGGGATATTTTTTCACAAAATGCAATGCTCCAAAGAAAGTAAAAAGGAATTAGTAAAAACTTTCCCCTTGCTACAACAGATAAAATGCCTCAAATAAAGATGATAAAAAAAAAAAAAAATGGATTTAAAGATTATAAACTCTGTATTACAACCCAAACCTGAATGGTTTGTGCTGAGGGACACAGTGATTCTGGTAAAGCAACAGTACCCACAAGAAGTGACTTTAAAATGTTTTCATGTCACCAAAGGAGTTTATTTACACCTGCCACTGTTTACCTCATGATTCAGACGGAGAATTACTTTTTTTGCGATAGTCTAAGTCCAAACAGACTCTGTTGCAGTTTCCCTCTAACCTCGATACGATCCGACTACATAAAGTACTATTTACATGCTAATTGAACCTAATGAAAAAAAACATAACACCCACTTTGGTGGAGAATAAACAATTGTGGTCCATTTAAAGTGGACCAAATATCCCAGGTCACCGTTTTCCCACTTTTAGCTTGTTAGATATTATACTAAGTACAGCTTTAACAGCTTTGAATATTTTTGTTTTGAGCTTTTATTTGTTACTTTATTCTATAATCTTTATATTTTTATTAAACTTCATTGGTAATAAAAAAAACGTCTTTAACATCTCTTTATTTCCAGCATTACTTGCTCCACCTCAGTGACACCCGCTGTAAACCTTGGAGCTGTTATCCAGCTATCTGAGGAGCTTTTGACAATAATCGGACTGCATTTAGATATCACTGTATCAGAGTTGTTTATTTTTTGTAACCATAATCACAAGGATAAAAAGATGTAGGTGGCAGAATATGTTTAAAAAATAAAGGCCTACATAGAGCAACAGAAGAAGTTTTTTTTTTTCAAAGTAAATTACTGGTTACTCCAGCGATGCACTACATACACTGGCTATCAGTAGAGGCCAGGGTTAATTTTAAAATCTTAATGTTTGTTTTTAAAATCAATTTATAGACTTGCACCTTCCTATTTATGTGAATTGAAAAAAAAGGAGTTTTCAGTGGCTGATCCTCAGCTCTGAAACACTCTTGAGTTGGGAGCCATCACTGACCTGACACTGTTTAAAGTTAGGTTAAAAATGTACCAGTTTAGATCTGTTTTTGACTGATAAGTGAACATGTGAAATGCAGTATTTTTTCTATTTATTGTGTTGAAACTGTTTTTATTGCACTTATGGAAAGCAGTTTGGTTCAGCAGGTGCTGTTGTAAAGCACTATATAAATAAAGGTTGATTGATTAAATCCAATCTGCAAACAAATTTCTAAGACTCTCAAATATAAAAAATAGTCTCCAACTGTAAGAGTGCAGCTGGAGAATGGAAACTTCATGAATGATGGAGCACTCAAACAGACAAGAGATGCTTCTAAACAGCTCTCTCTCTCTCTCTCTCTCTCTCTCTCTCTTACCTTCACTAAAAAGTTCCAGAAAGGATGCATAACATAGACAGACAGGGGGTTCGTGTCCACGGCGCTGTACTGTAAAAACAAACAAAAAACATGATTTTTACACATAAATCCAGTTTTCTACACCCATCTATGTTTGTGTTCATTTCATGGGCCATGCCGTCATTTAGGGAGCCTTGAGATCAAAACAAACCCGACTCCAGTGTCTGTAACCTTATCTAGGGATAGCAAACATGAGATCCAGTTTAGCAGGAGTGTATGGCTGCTATCTAAAGTACATGCTGTCCTCTCTTTAGTATGACATTTTGCTGTAACCTGTGCCTTACCTGGTCATTTTTTATCTATCTCTTAATCTGTCTCAGTCTTATTTTCACTTTCATTAAAGGGAATATGTTATAGCTATTTTAGTACGTTAAGGAAACACTGTGTGTGGGTCGGTAAGTAGAGGAGAAAGTGGTACTACAACAGGCCACCAATGAAACAGATTCATGTTAGTACACAGCTTTATCACGCAACTACTTGAATATGGAGAGAGATGAGCACATGGGACTCATTTGAGCTGCGAGGTAGTTAAAAGCACCTTATTATGGCCTATAGGGATAAATAAGAAAATAAGTGCTGTTAAGAGACAGTGTTACTATCTTTGCCTATCGGCGAGTTAAAATCATTGTGTTACCCCTTATCACACTGTGAGAATCTCTCACTAGCCTAGCTATCATCACATATGCAAACAAAGATCACACCTTGCACGCTTGTCTTGCTAATAAAAAGGAAGAAACTAAAGAGGACATTTGCAAACATTTTCACACCACACTTTGATGCTATGTTTTGGTGAATTCTTGGTACAAAAAGGCTAAAAATAATTAATAATAATGAGATGTTGAGTCTAAAGGAGTTAAAAGAGAATGGGTGATTTCACCAGAAGTAGCAACCTATCGGCAGAAGAAGCCAGACTGAGGATGTTGCGCATAATGGGGATTGGAAAGTGCAGTACCAAAGCTTTTAAAAGCTGTGGTTTTAAAAACAAATGAGGTTTTCCACTGTATCATTGCCCCTGGTTAACTCGTTATAAGAAATGTTGAAAAAAAGTTGGAGTGGCTGCCACCTGTCACTACAGCTGGTTAAAGGTAGGCTACTAGATTTACAATAAACCCAAAATTAGCAGTTTAAAAAATGACTCTGTTAGCAAATAAAGATGCTGTAAAGTAAAGACTGATTTAAAACTATTACCTAACCTATAATCAGCTGACTAAATCAACTAGGAGGAAATAGCCCTACCAATTAACCAGCGAGTACCAGGCTAATACACCTTTGTCACCCTCTGAGAGCATTGCATGTTTCAGAAACTAAAACTTAAGACATTTTGCTCACCTTTTGGAATAAATATCTTAACTTGAAAACCTACATGAGTTAAGACAAAGTGCTTAGGTAAATCAAGGCCATAGCTTTAACTATATACAACTTAAGCAAATTATACATAACTTTGTCAAATCAAACTGATGTTTTGGACTTTGGCTCGGGTCAACCACTTTTACGACGAAGTTTCCAAAGCTAAAAACATTTTTTTATTTATTTATTGCCCACAGTTAAATTAACTGATGTACAGTAGCTTTACTCAACTATTGCAATCCGTACCCAAAGATCAAGCCTTCATTAAATTACAGTCAATAAATAACAAAATTGCCTCAACATGGACATATGATTACCTTTAAATGTTTCCCAAGACCCTACAGAAACCCTAGCATAGTAAACTAGCCCCACCCGCCAGCAGCCAAAATCATTTTTGCCTAGGGATGGGAATCGAAAACCGGTTCCTGTTCAGAACCGGTTCCTTGTGTTCCAATTCACACCGTTTGGCAGCTCGTTTAACGATTCTCTTATTGATTCCATGCAGCACTAGAGCGTAGCGCTGGGCAGCACGACTTACGTCAGGTTTTTTTTTCGCAAGTTACGCACATGGCATTCCAATAAACAAGTATGACGTGACCATGCGTAAGTCTAGAAAAGCAAAAAAAATCAGACAGACCATCGGACAAAGTGATCGAAAGTTTGGCTTAATTTTAAGGAAAAGAAAGGTGGCAATAAGGCAATTACATCCACGGGAGGAAATACATGCAGAAACACCTGCGCAGAAAAACATGGGATACATTTTAATGAATGCCATGTTTTTGATGCTTTCCGGACAGAAGCTAAAGTTATGACCAGCATGGAAGGCAACTCTGCTGGTAAGTAGCTAGTTTTATATCACTGGCTGTGCTTAATGTGGTTCCTAGTAAATCATATGCCATTTCTGGAAATAGATTATTTTCCTACCTCTCTTTGGGGTTATTAAAAATGCTACGAAGTTGCTCCGCAGTTCAGGGAGCGAGAGAAAGGTGACGCTCGTTTATTTAAATCAGGGGGAGATGAGTTTATTTCCCAAAATTGTCCAGTAATGCTTTTTTGTTAAACTGAAGCCTTCTCCATTAGATTTAGATGACTGTAGCCTGGCTGGCTCAGAAACTGGGCGCTCCCGGTCACTCCCTTCTGTTTTCGCCGAGGCAGGCAGACATATAATGTCCTAGGCGAAGGTAGCAGAATGTCAACGTCAACTTACCAAGCTCATTCTTTCATAGAATCGATAAGAGAATCAGAATCGTGAAAATCGTATCAATTCCCAACCCTATTTTTACCTGTGAGCGAATTACACATTAAATTACATTCTCACATTTAGTCTAGATTATCAGACTACAGAAACCTAGTGCAAAGAGCTACAAAATCTGTATAATATTCTGCACCATAAGCATTTTTACATGAAGGTTTCTTCTCAATCTAGCATGCGATTTGCAGTTTTTTTTAAAAACATTTTTCTAAATTATGTATCAAAACCAAGACACATTTATTACAGTAATACGATTTTTTTTTAAATTGTTGTTGTCTGGGTTTAAAATTTTACATTTAAAATCAGATCAAATCATGTGAGTTTTGTTTTACATTTCTGTCATCAATATAGTGTAACTGTGAGCCATTATATACAGTTTTAAAACACTAATCTAATACCAGTTTGGAACTACACTCACTAGTTTAATGTAAGATTATCACATCGATATTTTCAAGAGATAAACTAACAGAAACAACCAACTGAATGCAATATTTTTCAACACTAAATTAAAAGTCTTGTGCATTTGGATGCAAATTCAAGTTCCCACCTTCATTCTGATTAATTAATTTGGGTGTTATTACAGCTCTACTACAAATAAACATATAAAAATAGATCATCTACCTACAATACATTTTTTATGAGAGATTTTAAATAATATTTTACGCAAATTGGGCTCCGGAATAGACAGAATCGTTCACCATTAACCTCTGCAGCAATGTGAAGCAGCTCACCATACTTCCGGTCAACATTAAAATGATGTTGGAGGGTTGTGTTAACACCAGGGGAGATGTTATATAAAAGAAGAGGGGTAAGAGAGTATATTATACCCTAAAACGCCCTCAAAACGCAAAGTAACGATAAAGATATTTAACATTTTAAATTAAATCTCAACTTATAACAGAAAATGGCCATGACACAAAGTATACATGTAAATTCTTTTTACGTGTAATTGATTTATATTTATCGGGGAAAGGGGGTAAATAAAAATCTGTAAGGTTTGAGGTAATTTTGTATTTTCCCAGCACCACCGTAGATAATCGCAAACAGCCCAACAGTAGGCTTCAGCGGCCATACCTTATATCTGTCGAACCCCGCCAGCTGCTCCTTCGTGACATATTCGTAGAGAGCCATGGTGGTTTGGTCTGGCTCAATGTTTCTTCAAGTGGAGGTGAAAAAATCCCTAACGCTAGCTACCAAATCGGAGTACCATCTAGCTTAACCGCCGTCGTTCTCTTCACGCCGGGTGAGGTGATGTCGAACCACCGGAGCCACTCCTACGCCAAGGAGCACTATTAGCTCATGGAGCTCACTACCGCCCCCCTCAGCTTTGGATGATTTTTTTTTCTATGAATCTGAATAAAAGGTGTATATTATGAATATCTATATAACACAATCTACATCACGTTTATTTGTGATAAAATATATTTTAAAGCTAAAATTGAAGAGGTCAAAGACAAAGTATATATATGAAAATGTTTAATCTATAAAACGTGCTTCTATGGCTCATGTACAGTAGGTGGCGGTATACACCTATAAGTAGTCTGCAATCCGCCATTTTAACAAATACGAAGAAGAGTGTTTGAATGACGTGGCTTTCAGCTTAGACGGAAGAGAGCCAGCTTCATTTGCAGGAGCCCTGGACTATCACTTAAGCGTCATTCAAAACAGAAACAACACAAACATTAAGGTAACGGGTACTATCCGTGAATTGAATAGCAATTTGATTTCGTTAACGTTTCTATTGTTTTAAGCGTATGAATCATCCCTCAATTTAGCGTTTGCGCCCCGGTTAGCCCACGAGCTAAGCTAACGTTACACTGATTTATCGGTATTTCCAACTCTAAATGTGTTCATATTTTTTCATTTTGAAACACTTAATAGAATAAACTGCAAATGTGGTGTTTATATATTTTGTTACAGCAAGAAAACGTATATAAACCCAAAACGCGTTGTGCTACAAAACCTTTAGCTTCTTACAGTCATGCTAATTTCACTGCAGCTGAAGTTTATTTTTATTATTATTAAGCCATTGACATTTACATGAAAAAAATACCCCCAGAGAGGATGGCAAAAGTGTACATGAACAGATGAAGATTAATTAAATTTGAAAAGAACGAAGTAAAACAAATAGCAGGGGATTTATCTCAACAAACATTTAAATCAAACTCAGAGCCATAGGAATATGAAAAGGAAAAAGGAGGATGCAATTAGAATAGCAGATGTTGGGAATTTTTTTGTTGTTGCAATTTGGCCTTTTTTTTTTTTAAATCTTTTTAAGAGAAGAGAAAAAAGGGGTTAAGTCAGTATTTATTTTTTAACTCAAGGCTGCACTTAAAAAAATGAAATTGTCCAGAGAGCTGTTCTAAACGAAATTTCTTTTTGTTTTACCCTTGTGTAAACAAAATGACTAATCTAAGTCTAATTAATAAACCAGTGAAAGGAATGTTTAGCATTTCTCCATTTAGTACAGTGGATATATTTACCCAATAGAAGGATGATATTAATAGTATCAGAAACAGGCTAGGGAAGATGGTCCATATGATAAATGACATCATTTAGGGCAAATGGGGGAACATCATTAATTTTCAAAGAATCCCATCTTTCATGTCTTTCCAGAAGCGATGTGTAGGAGGACACAGGTAAAACAGATGTTCAAGAGTTTCACTATTATTATTACAAAAGGAACATTGATCCACCTCAAAACCAAAATGCAGCTGAAGGTGTCCAACACTGTATTCACGTTTTCTGTTTTTGGGTTGCATCGTAAAGCTAAATGCCAGATTTTCTGTTGAAATCGCCGCATGAGTTTAAGGGTCAAGATTTGTTTGGATGTAACTGTAAAATCTGTCAAATATTGCTCTCCTTCTATTAGAAATATTTCATACATTATTCAGAATAAGAAAATATTGGTTTTATTGTATTTGTGTGGCTTCCAGCATATATTGGGGTAGAAGGAAACAAGCAGGCAGATAAAATGACAAATAAGGCTATTCAAAATCCCATTACTTTTACAGTTAAAACAAGTAAACTGAAGGGAAAGAGTATTATTAAAGAAAAACTGATGGAAAAATGCAAAAAAAAAGGGATGAAGAAGAAACAGGAAGATAAAATTCAGAAGATAGTAGGAAACAGAAGAAATGGAAAGGAGAGAGTGATAACAAGGTTAAGATTTGGGCATACACTTTTAAAAATTCAAAAGCATACTACTAGCAAATGTGATTACTGTGGAAAATATGAAACTGGAATGTCATAAATATGAAAGTGAGAAAAGATAGATGAGGAGAGAGTTTGAATGTATTAAGGAAAATATTAATTTATTAGAAAATTAGGAAGAATTTGGGGAGTAAACATACAAAGAAAATTATGTCATAGAATTTGATTAAAGAGAGGTGGAATGTGTGCATGATATAGATGGGTAGAATAAAAAGCTATGTACAAATATGTATATTTGTGTGTGTGTATATATAGTTATTACATTTTATTTTTTTCCTTAGAATTTGTTTTTTAGTAGATAGTCCATCACAAACCTCAGTCCATACAGTAAGTGGCGGTAATCCTACTAAATGTTTGTTCTTCTTTTTTTAATCCAGGATGGTGACTGATGTTCAGCTGGCAATCTTTGCCAACATGCTTGGAGTGTCGTTATTCCTGCTGGTTGTGCTCTATCATTATGTTGCTGTGAATAATCCCAAGAAGCAGGAGTAGATTTCACTACAATGACTGGAGAAGTGAGTGTATTTTAACTACATTTTCTATCAGCACAAAGTCACCCACTGATTAAAGTGTAAAGTTGTTTTCTTTATTAAATGCATGGGGGGGTAAAGCTGGATTACAACTTTTAGAATTAGAACCTTAATTTGTTTTTCCTTTTACCCCCTCAGGTGAGATAAGAGTCGGAGTCCCAATCTTCCCATCCAGTTCACCTTTAGAAGATGTTCTGTTGCACCACATTGTTTTATTTCTAATAAAAAAAAAATGTTGAATTCAGTTTTGTCACAGCCTCAGGCTTTTTCCACACTTGCGTTCTTCAATATTTGTAGGAATTATAAACAACAAAACTAACCCTTGTGTGTCTATATATGAAACTTATAGTATAGGGCTATTAGAGGTAAAATCAATAGAAATTTTATGCCTTAAAATGTTTAAAACACTGCTGCTATTTAAGATTTTGAACTGCTGAAATTTGACTGCTTTTAGTATTACTTCTGGTATAGGGAGGTCAATATCAAGTTATTTCTGTTGGCAGCCCTCCATAGACCCTTCTAGATTTTCTATAGATGCAGTTGTCCACAAGATATTAAAAGCTCAACTGCGTGGTTATATTCTTATAAAATACATTTAGATTTAATTAAGTCCAATATTATCTTAATTTAATATTGTTTTTGCACCTTTTATGTTTTCCTTCTGTCCAACCTTCCATTATTTTTCAAGCAGCACTGGGAAAAAGCCAGATAATTACCACGGATCCTTTGTAGCTTTGCTAAAACAAAGATGTCTGCAGGACAGATTTCCCCTTGATTGTCTGCACAAAAACAGCCATATTGTCATTAAATGATTTATTGATATATAAGTAACCATTTTCTAAAAAAAAAAATATATACCGTGTATATATATATATATTTATATATATATTTGAATTCATTTACTGGGATACATCTTCAGTTCTAATTTGAGATTAATTTTGCAGTGTATATATATATATATATATATATATATGTCACAGTTTCTTCAACATAGGAATGTTTATACAGCAGTGAGAACTTAGGTGGTTCATTAAAACAATACAACTCTAAATACTTCTGAAAATACCAATGTCACATTATTAACTAAAAAGTCCAAAGGAGGGAAACATCCTTTCAGAAATAGTAGCACAAAAAACCAAAACAGTCCATTTTCTAACCATGGTTTAAATGTAACAAAGGTGCTGCTGTGCTCAGGTTTGACAAACAAATGATTGATAATACATGTCTAAACAAGTGACTTAAAATTCAAGCACAATAGTGTTGGTCAATCAGAGCAAATTTCTTTGCTCAAAAGAAAACCGATTAAACAAAGTGTGAAACGGTGGTCGGAGCTGAAATGTTACAGGGATATTTCAAGTTTATTCTTCAGCTTGAAAACAATTTATGCTGCACTACTCCAGCTGCTGTTTCAGTGTCGTAAAGAAAGGCACTTGGATCTTCAATGGCTGCTCAGCCATTCAAAAGGTCACTAAATCCGTTGTATAGCATATTTAACACTTAAGAAATGACAGTTCCTCCTCTTATTTGAAATATTGGTTAATAATTTGGAATTTTAATGTGAGCTTACAGTTGGCAAAAAATAAATACTGTAGTTTAGTCTATTTGTGAGCTCCTGGACCTGGGTGCAGTGTCTAAGCTTCTCCACACAGGGTCGCTGTCTCACACATGTTGGCAGCCTCTGGCCCCAGCATAGCTGGACTCTCCTCAGCCTAAAAAAAACAACAACACTTTGTCAGGTTTTAGATATCTTATGCATTTGACTTTGCCTGAATCTTAACATGTAGATCCTCACCTGTTCTGCAGTTCTGTCCATTTCCGCTGTAGGCACAGTGATGGGTTCTGTGGTGTAAATTGGACTCTTCTCTGTGTCCTTTACTAGCAGCGTTCTGGAGGCCAGCTTTAAGGCACCATCCTTTTTGGATAAGCCTGAACAGAAGAAAAATGTTAATCAAGATTTTTATTTACATCAAAAGTTTTTACTCCAATCATGATGATACAGTTTCAACAATATGGAGATATCATCATAGTAATTGGGATGTGAATATGTGTTAAATGTAACCTTAAAAATTAAAAACATACCAGTATTTACACCAGGACATCAATTACAAAACACTACCTGGACAGTATCCCCTTTTCACCTTTTGTTAAATTACAGCAAGTAATTCTAACATTTTGCAGGTATGTGACAGAACACCACAAATTGAGGAGCAAATTTGAAAGGGTAAAATAAAACTATAAACTAAATAAAAATTATAAAAGAGGCATGTATTTGTTTCCAGATTACTGTCAGACATTATTTTGCAGATCCACCTTTAATCATTACAACTCCAAGTGTTGGATAAATCCCTACAAGCTTGATATATCCTAAGACTAATTGGCTATTCTTCTTAGCAAACTAGCTCAAGCTCACTCAAAATGGACAAAGTAAACAGATGTTCTATATACCGGCTAGGTTTCTTTTGAAGCAATTGCCTGTACTGGATTTCTTTTAAAGGTGTAGTGGAGGATGTTCTTTTTCCAGTTGGATCATCAAAATAAGTGGTCATCCTAATTATCAATCATTCTGGTCATATATTTATGTAAGGCCATCCTACGAGCTCGTCCTCATTTTCACTTACCGGTGGTGAGTCTGACATAGTCGAATAATTGCAAATCTTTTGGAAAGTAAGCTTGTATGAGCGATGCAAACAGCAACTTTTAAACAGAGCGTGCACGAGGAGAAATGAGCTCGAGCATGCTCTCACGTGTTTAATAGGCGTTCCCTTTCTGAAGCGGGTACAGGGTTGTGCATGTACATTTTTTTTTTTTTTTTTTAAGTAGAGAGGGTGGGTCTTTTAAAAAAAAAAATTGGGAAAATCCTTCACTATACCTTTAAGGGGATCAAAGCAGAGATAACTAAATACAAATTCTTTCCAATTATCAGCTTTTTTGGTGTATTTTATTTAAAATATGTTGAGGCCTGCTGTTGTGACTCAGAAAATGTTGAGGTCTGAACACTTTTGGAGACAATTCATGCATATAAAAAAAAAAAAAAAAGAATTGAGGAATTTTAGGTTATGGAAGCAAAGAAAAGCGAACATGGTACGTGCCTGACATGGCCAGATGTCTGTGGAGCCCAGGTCTGAGGAGCTTCAGGACTTTCATGCTGGAGGCCACCTCACTGTCTCCAGACGTGGAAACAGAAGCTTTAAGGTGTGGGAGGGGAGCCTCAGAGGACCCTGCTTTGCGGATGGGGATGCGGCTGGTGTGCGGCTGCAGCTCGCACCTAGGCGGGCAGGAGAGGAGTTATTAATCACACAAGGATGATTTAAACCTACAACTCTTTGACAAAAAAATCCACAAAAATTAGACTTTTTTTTTAAGATAAAACTCGTTTAGAATTTATTAATCATTTATGTTTCAAGAGTTAATTTAAATGTCTAATTCTACTATTTAATCTTGATTTAAGAAAGACATGGACAGATCATTTCCCTTCCGATTACCTTCTCCCCCAGATTTAGTGCTTCTATCTTGTTTCAAGACGCCCATTTTTTTGCAGGAAATCCCAAACTGTAAAAAACCTAGACTTACTTGCTGATTTTGAATGATGACAGGATATGTTGAGGCCGTGTGTCTTTAGACATCTGTGACATATCGACACATTGAGAGAGGACTTAGAACACAACGGAATATGGAAGCTGTACATAGCTAGCGTACAAAGCAAAGAGAACTTGCTCCTCTGGGTCAGCAAACCTCTCTACAGCTCTCAGCGGAGCGATGACTGACTGCGACACCTCGACAGCTTCGGCCAACACGGCCGGCACGCGCTGGGAATGGTGCTCTGGACCAGCCAGCCAAACTGGCTCCTTCAACCTTAAAATCTGGGCAGCTGATGCCTGTCAACAACAGGAAGGGACATAAATACAGGAAAATGTGTACGTTTAACATCTTTGGCACGTTTAAATCTCTATAGCCGTATCATAATTCATGTAAGCCTTCCAACGAGCAACCAGGTTCCTGTTTTTTGATTTTCAGGAGGTTCCATATTTTATTGTGGAAGTTGAAAGACATAACATTTAAAAATATAAAATTTGATAATTATCACATTGGTCAGAGGACTTGCACACTATTTACTTTCACAAATGGACTTTTCTTTATTCAAGAAGTTAAACAGTAACGCGATAAAAGACAGCAGCACATTCAGTAAGAGGATATTAACCAATCGTTACAAGAAAAAAAAACATCTGGTGCAGGTTTGCAACGCATTAAAGAAAATGACAATTCTCACAGAGATTATACAGCATAAACATCTAACTATGCATACAGTGTTTCCACCTAAAGCTAGTTTTCTTATTTCAAATGAAGACGGGTGCACCTTAATGTCAAAACAAGTTTGGACACAGACATCAGAATTCACAGTGCGAGTAGAAATAAACTACAATATGCTAATCCCATCCTGCGCTCATCAAACCTGGGAGCACCGGACCAACAGCTTCCCCACCCGGTTCAAATCAGTAGAAAATAGCTACATGGAAATAATCGCCTCAAAGAGAAGCACAAGAATTAAACACTGACCTGCTTCGAGCCTTTTGCTCATTTTTCTTAGAGTGGAAACTTTACTTAAAGCCACATATAGAGCATGTTTAAAACAGAACATGTTTTATATAGTGTCTGGGTTTATCACGATCAAAGATCAGTGAAAACCCATAAACCAACTCCTCTTCTATTGCAGTTGTACGATGCAAAGGAAAGAAAAATCCAACCTTAAATTTTAGCAGATGTACTCAGGGAGGTAAAGGATGTCACAATAAGGAATAATTGCTTCCTTTGACGGAAATGTTGGATCTACTAACAAAACCATCAAAATATAGTTAACTCGAATATTTTAAAAGAAGCATTTATTTTAATTTTTTCTCCTTTTAAAGTAGATTAAATTTATTCGGTAACTGCTAATTGTAAACCTCTACTTCCTGTGTTTCAGTGGCATAAACTGGATGTCAGAGAGGAGCACGTTTTATCTCTCTGCTCTCCAATAGGCTGGAGAATAACCCATTTTAAGGTTGCTACTATGCATAGTGACCATAATGTAACAAAAAAAAGCACATGGGAGCATGTTAGGGAAAACCCTTCACTCCAACATCAGTATATAAAAAATTTTGAAACCAACTGAGACCTAAAAGAAAAAATAAACTATCAAATACCTCTAAGATTAAGCTTTCTGACGACAAAAAATCAGTCTGTCTGATGTCAAAAGAGAGCCAATATGCCTTTCTGCCTACTGTTAAATATGGCGGAGAACCTCTGATCCTCTCAGCTTTTCAGAAGGATAAGGATTCAAAACACAATTAGATCATTGCAGTAAAGTGCAGTAAAATGACCATCCTGTGATCATTTACTCTGGGGATCAAAATCGTAAAGAAATCTATCCAAGGTGAAACTGAGAAGAGGAGAGCACGCCATTTATTTTTCCAACTGAATAAATCAATCTTAAAATAAAGGTTGGATTTTCCTAGAATTAAGTTAAGATTGTCTTCTTACACATCTTGTCATTGTATTGGCAGCTGCACCATTAAAAGTCTAATAAGATGTAAAATATGTTTGGAGCTTTTTATAAGATCAAATCAAACAATAGTTTAACACAAAGCAAGGCACACGACAGCTAGAATGTGTTATCAGATGGCAGCTACAGCAACAATGTTTCTGCTAAGAAACTTTTCAAACATCACAGATATTCTACGTTTTACAACTAAACACAAACCACCTTCAGGTACTAGAACGACACATAAAACCAAAGTGCAGACAATAACAATTTATTCCACAGCAGATTAATTGTTTGGATATTTTATAAAAATCCTTAATAACCATCTACTAAAAGTAGAGAAACTTTCACCAAAAAACATTTAAAGGCTGAATAGATAATGACCCATATATTTAATTTACGATAGAACTAATACTGACATCTTATAATAAATATATAAAACTTTTTTAGCGTTACCGATTGCTGGTACACCTTGCTTCTTTTCAAGCAGCTCTACAATTGCACAAACCATGAGGATATAATCCAGAGCCCACCTGGAAAACGGTTCTGGCATTAGGCTACGCAGTGAACATTATTAGGTCACAACCCATGTGGGTCCGACGCAGGAATGACACAAGATTGAACTGAACTGCACATAAACACACATATAGATAATCTTTAAATCTAATTCTCAGTTATTAAACATGAAACATAGTCAACAGAAACCTCATATTTACAAGCTATCAATGACTGTATAACTTCAGTTTGGGTATTCAGCCAGTTTTCATTTTACAAACAAAAATTAAGCAGAAAAAGTTCTACCTAACTCTGCAACTCCATTACACTAAAAGACAAAAAAATAATAATAATGCTACAGGTATAAGTGCAACATTGGGGTATATCCTCTGTTTACTGGGAGATCTCAAGAAACTCCCTATAAAACCAAACAGTAAGTCGAGTGAAGAATCTAAAAACTGATAGCTAGCTCATCAAAATTCAAATCACATGACTTCTTTTAGCTTATTATTTGTAGAGAAAACTCACTGTTATCACACCAAGATCTATTGAGGACAGAGGGACAAAAGAAAAGCTAAGCACCAAGACAAGCATCCAAAAGGAATGGTCCGGTTCAGGTAACATTTGGTAAAGATGGAGAGCAAAGGTGGAAGTGTCAATTATCAAATAAGTGGTGAACTTTATGCAGAGTGGCTGTAATCAGTAATGTCTCCATGGTTATAGATCAGGTATTGGTTCAGTTACCAGTATCAACCCATATCAAGGTTGTAAAAATGTACTTCTTTATAACAGCTTGATTTTCCCATCATCCCATTCCAACCACTTTTAGTCCTTTTAATATGATGACTTCCTAACGACGAACGCAAACTTCATTTAGATAACAGCGATGTTTATTTGGGTAAAGTTTTAGAAAGAATTGGTCCACTATTATCAGCTGTTTGTTAAACAGCTGACTAAAAGCTCTATTGGAGCAGATAACCTAACTAAATAATCAGCTGATATCAGCTTTTCACACTCTGTAGTGTTACTTTCTAAGGATAAAAGGTTAAACTTCTCTGTAATACGCTTAAGCAACTTGAACATTATTGCTAAATTAAATGAGTGTTATGAATTGGTTGTTTTATTAAAACTAGCTTTAAATTCAACTGTCTGCATAGAAGACCTATATTAAAACATTCTGTTTGTGAAACATGTAATCTTATACCTTCCCAAAATAGAAAAAAAATGTAGGTAGTTTAGTCACTAAAGAACCAAATGTTAAGCTGTAAACTGCCTAAATAGCAGCCAGGTTCAATCTAAAAATAAAGAAATAACAACCCCATAACTGGCTTTGATCTAAGGGTGAGGTATGCGATTATTTCACTGCTCTTATGGGGTCTGGAATAACTTATACCACCTCCCATGTTAAAAATGGGAAGTAATCTTAGTATAGAATTGTAGACTAAAGGTACATTCCTCGGGTTTTTAAAAATGACAGCATTGCTTTGTTTGGCAGTTTAAACTTAATAGTTAAACTAATAGTTTTGTATCTATGCTCATTGATGTAAATCAGTAAATTCAGTAAAATCATTGGATTTATGAAGACCTTTGAAACTTTGGTCCTTTACTAAAACCAACTGGCTCTTGTGTCGGGAGCCATCCTGAAGCTTTAAAAGTAAACTCCGCCCCCCACATACAGGGCAACAGCAAAAATAAAAGCAGGCCTTGTGCAAGTCTGAAAAGCAGCATATTGAAAAGATAACTCTGGAATTACTATAGAAGGTGGAGACTTTTTCTCACCATTTTAACTATTTAATGCTGCTCCTTACTACCTTTGAGCTCCAGCATTGGTGTTCCTGGTCAGAGCCATCACTGGTCCCCATGTTTTGTCTAAATCAGACCATTCCTTCTGGGCATTAAATGTTTTTTTTCTTTTTTTTTTGTACATTGGTGTATGTGCAATGTTCATTTTTCAAGGGAATGCATCTCAAATGCCCAACCTGTCCCTTTGTCAGCAAATATAGATAACTCAGTTTACTGGTCAGTCTGTGATATGCCTTAAAATCTAGCACCATTAATATTTCAGCACGCGAACACACAGTCACACTGGATGAGTTCGATTTAGTCCGACTTTGGCCCCGTTGTAGAGCTGGTGGAGGGTGGAAGGCTCTGAAGAAGCAGTGGGCTCAGTTTGGAGAGCAGCCCAGGCCGAGGCAAAGCCTGGAGGGAGGGGAGCAAGGCGGACAGGCGGGGGGGCTGAAGGGTGTACAGACCTGTTATATTGACCGGAGCCGGAAGGGGACAGGAACCTGCCGCACATACTGAAGAGGAGGAGGACGAGGAGGAGGAAGGGGGGGACAGAGGGGGGCGGGAGGGTTTGTGGCTGTTGCTGGGAGATCGGAGAACGGGACGGTTGTGGGAGGGGCGTCTCTTCTCCTGAGGCTTAGCGTCTGAGGAGAGAGAGACACACACACACGTACAGCAGGCTCAGAAACATGCAGGGACTGTGCTGAACACATTCATTCACAGAGCATTCAGGCTTTCCACATTTCTTGCATTTCAAACTAGATCTTCATTTTCTTTTCCAAATTTAGTCTGCAAACGCTACATCCTAGAGCTAGCTCTAAGGAAGCTTTTCAACGGTATAGGGGAGGGTGTTCTTTTTTCGGGTCGATCATCAAAATAAGTGGTCCTCCTAACTGTCAATCATTCTGTTCATATGTTTCTGCACATGCACACTTTCAGGTATATATGTGTGATGAGTTACGGATTCAGCCAGACATTGAAGCTAGCCTTTTCACTGCCGTTCCATGAAAATGGACGAGGGACGCAAGAGAAAAAGTGTACCGGTACACTAAGTGTATGAGAAGAAGAGAAAGGCCTCAGGAGAGAGAACCAAGACCAGAGTGTTTTTGGTCGAGCTTCCCACTGATACCTCAGTTGCAAAGTTTCTACTCGACAGGTAAAGTTTGCATGCTATTTGGAGAAATTCATTTTAGGTCACTGCTAATTAAACAAGGAGAAATGGGCTTGTGCAAGCTCTCGCACACGTTTAATAAGCATTCCCTCTCGGCAGCGGGCACAGGGTTGTGCATGCGCAGTCATTTATTTTTTTTTTAACTGGAGAGGACAGGTCTTTTCAAAAATTCTGGAAAATCCTCCTTTACTTTTAAGGTCCCTCCCTTAATATCAGTAAGAAGTTGCAAAACTGGGCAAGTTGTTATAAGGTATTTATCCACATAACCTTTGTAATAGTGTTAAAGAAACCTATCGCTTAAAATTAAAACGAGTTCAAATGCCTAAAAGGCAATAGCTTTTTAAGAAAGTCATCGGATTGCCTCGATCTTTAAACTTAGAAAACTTTTATTGTTATTTTGTATACACTCTGTGTTCCATTTTACACAGCTTTCAGAACATTCGATTAAGTTCAGCAGTGATCAAATGTAAACAGAGAGGAGAAAAGACGTGGTGCAAACCGAAAAGCGGTATAGTGTTTAAAATCAATCAGATCCTTACAGTATAGGGGACACATTCAAGTCTTTTATGATATAAGTCACATCATATCATTATAAAATGAAAGCAATACTCCATCACATTCAAATTATTAAAACAAAATCTTTTTTTTTAAACTAATACATTTATATACTGAACATTGTGACAAATGTTTCCTATTTTATCCCCTGCAAACCTGTAGAGCCTTTAAAACAGGCTCACCAGTTGGAGTTCACTCAATGTTAATGGGATGAAGTATTTTAACAAAGCCGTTTAAGGAAAAGGGCATCATATTTTTATTCCCAAGTATTCTGTACTCCAGACAGTAGCAGGTTGTGGTTTCAGGTACCCTGTGTGCTCACAGAGTCTGGAAAGATAAGTCAGGTGTTGGAATTATCTGCATGATGAGTTTATAAACCCTCATCTCTTTATCTAGTTTTACAGAAAAACTGTCAAAGATTTGCTTGAAGAGATGCTTAATTGCTTGACACCTTGTTGATGTGAATAATTTAATCATATTAATTGTGACCCTTTTTTTATTGTATAGGCTAGTTTGCACTTTGTACATTGTGCTGTATTTTTCTGATATCTGGGGCATCCTTATAAAGGAGATTAATAATGTAATGGATTTATTTTCTGTAAAGATACACATCTATCACTTCCAAAAACAAAGGAAAGGGGCTAGTTTCCACATGCTTAAAGTCTTAATGAAACGGCCGTTGCAACCGTTGCATTTACCAATTCTCTGGCTTAAGACATCCATCCCCGTGAACGCTGGGACGGAACTCAATGGTAAAGTAAATGATTCTTATTTGAACCGTTGCGTATATTAGCTGCGACATATGAATCAAGATGCTATGACCGAAAAAATTTGATTGACAGATGACTGTTGATATAAGATTGGCCAAATTTAGGTGTTGAAGCTGAAGTATACCTAACTGGCAGACATAAGATAACAAAAAAAAAAAAAAAAAAAAAAACCCTACAGATTTTAAGACAGGATTTTTTTTTTAAATAGAAATTTTCTAACTTTTGGGACAATGTGGTCTGAATACATTTACATACATGTTTAAGCCAGAATGATTTGAAATTTAAATATGACTTTTCTGCGACTTTTAAAAAGTCTTTGAAGCTAACCAGCTGCTTTGAAAAGCTTGGAAAAGCAGGAATAACTTGACTGTATTCTGAGTCTCTGAAAGTTAGTAATTTCTACCATTTTTCAAAGCTCCTCATTTTGGATGTTTTCTAAGCTCACTTAGTTGACTAATGGCGCCATCTGCTGGAGAATGTTTTAGAAGAGCTCTGATGACTGACCTCTAATAGGAGGTTTTCTGAATCCTACTTGTAGTTTATCATCAGGAAATGCTTCTTGGCATGACCAATGCATAATAGCTAATTAGCTAGCTTAGAGTTGTGCTGTTTCACTAGGTGTTATTAATTTAAATGAACTGTTTGGATTCAATATTTAATAGGCTATAATATCTGTATATAATTTTATTGGCTGATGACAAAGATGTTAAGCTCACAGAGTTGAGAGGAGTTTGGGAAAAAAGAAAAGAAAGATAAGAGAGGAAATGCGGATAATTGTGATAAATATGATCCTTAGTATGTTTGACAAACTGCAATCTGTTGCTATCTTTTAACCTTAGTTTGTATAGAGGTATGAAATAAAAGTAATTAGAAATAAAAATGGCACAATGCGGGTAAGAAACAGGGGTACGAAGTAGGAAAATGTTGATCTGATCAGGGGCCCTCTAAACATGTTAAAAAAATAAAATTGATTCTCAATTAAACTGAACATATAGGCTTAAGAGAGGTGAATGAAAGTGAATAATTCATATAATTACAGACCTGACGATGGGATTTTAAGTCTGAAACATCCCAAAATATGGAAAGCAAATGAAAAGAACCATGGATTTACTGTGGCTTAATTAACAATTGTAAAACCAAAAAAATAATTTAAAAAAAACTCTTAGGACTTGCTGGATATGAGGGGACAGTTTTAAACAGACTTAATTGTGGAAGGAGAGCATGCACTGAAAGGAGGAGGAGGAGTCATGCAAGTATTGCTTATGGGAAGTTTAAATTTGCCATCCCAGCAAACCCTAAAACCAACACACACATCAACCAGTGATAGAAAAAGAAAATCTTCCCAATTAGACGGTAAGGTCAACTCACCCCTAACAGGTCCATGTGTCCTGTTGGCTCCTCGTCCACTGGGATGTGTGCTGCTGTGCTGCGCGTGACTTCTGGGAGGGGGGCAGCCGAAGGTAAAGCTCGGGGAACTGTGCATTTTGGGAGAGGGGGTCTGGCTGCTGCTGCTCTGGCTGTTGCAGCGAACGCGGCTGATCGTGTTTTCTGATGCTGATCCGGACAAGAAGCTGCGACAGATCAAGATAAACAGAAACTAGTGATCCATCTGTAAGGAGGCCATTAAACACACTCTGGACTTCAGGCTTACACAGAACTCACTTGTTGAAACTTTTTGGTGGCGACACCTTGCTGCCGTTATGTCCTTTTGGCAGCGCGTTGATATGCATATTCAGACTTTTGGTATTGCGGACGTGCTTGAGGATCCAGGCTCGCAGGTTGGTTAGGCAGGTGTGCTCAGAAAGCACGAGGCGTGGCCACGGATTACACTCAGCCATATCCAGGGCAGAGACCGCCACAGCACGTCCCACCTGATGCACATCAACAATTAATGACATGGAAATAACACACAACTATGAGCAAGAGTCTAGAGGTATCAGCCTAGACATAACAAATTCTACAAATTAGATACGGTTTATTGGGATTCAAAGCGATGATTTTAAGTTACATTCTAATAAATGAATCAATGAAATGAATCTCTGGTTGTATGTTTAGTGCTGTTCCTGTCTCAAATCGTTCAAAGATTGTAACAGCTTTTCTTTCAAAAAAATCTCCATGTTAAGTTCTATCTTCCCACAGCCTGATACAGCCACCACTATGTCTTCACGTAAGGAGGGACGGATGGAAACTTCTTTGTCCAAAATGGGGAAATTTGTCACGGCTACGAGTCTTAAAATAAAATCAAAAATAACATAAATGCATTAAATTAAAAGATTGCAGATTTACAACATAGTAAATACACCTGACCACACACTCCACAACAAACCAGAAATCAGACAAGAGCGTGTATGACAGCGGTAGTGAATCTCTAAAGGTGTATGTCTGCCTTATTGCTTAGGCTGATGGGGGGGAAGAACAAATTAATATTTGAATCTATGATACTTGGTGTGTTAGGGAGACATACAGTTTTAGCTTTAGCAATGGAAAAATGTAATTCAAAAATGTTCCATTTCCTATCATCTTAACAAGTTATCCCCTTTTACATGTTTTCCATCTCCCACATGGCCCAAGGCAGGCGCTAATACCAATGAGTGGTTTTCTTCTAATAATGGTAAACCATAAAGGCCAGATGTGTGGAATTATTTCCCCCTTTATTTTCCGCATTAAGATCAGTGACATGACAGTAGAGGGATTTACATGCATTTCACATTTTTATTTCTACAAGGATTTGAAATGCAAGCTTTATTTTCCTTCCAGCACTCATTTGTGTTGGAGTATCACAACGAATTCCAATAAATTACATAGTAGGTTGGCAATATAAAATCTGGGGTGTGAAAACTTTTGAAAATCACTGACTAGCTGTGTCAGTGAAGGGATCAATAGTAAAAATAAGCAATTCCTCCTACCTGTTCAAATATTTCTGGAGTGTATTTAGGAGGAAATGAAGAGGGTGGAGGTGGGGTCGCCCGTCCGCTGTCATGGCAGGCGGGTGGGATGCTGTTCATGGTTTTTCCCGTGTTATAATTGCACTCCAAAGTATAACTAATGTCACCAAACAGATAAAGATGAATCCAGAAAGACAAATGTTATAAAAGCTTTCTGCTTTTTGCTATTGTGTGAATTGCTGTGGTTATTCAGATGAAGACGTCCTACCTGTGAAGCAGTCCTATCGCTTTGTGAATGGCCACTCGGCCGCTGCCTTCTTTAGACTGCCCATCCCTCTTGTCACGCGCATACATGTTTTTCTCAGAGAAGTTACAGCCAAGGAAATCAAAGTGAGCAGAATTCACAGCAATCAGCCGTGGGTAGAGCATGTTCTCCACCTAGAAAGAAAACCAACGAAAGGGGAAAACGGTGATTTGTTTACGCAATGTTGTGATTAAAATAAACTTTTTATTTCCCTCATAATCCATTTAAAACCAAACAGAATAAAAAATAAATGGGACTTCAGCCATTTAACGAAAACAATGCAAATGGAAGGAGAATATTAAGCCTTCTACCTGCTGGCTCTCATCTGGAAGGTTATTTCCATATATGAAACATCCGCGTTTAGAGGCATGGCCGTGTAAATCCACGTAATACGCCACTCCTCCCTCCTGGGGAGGCACTGCTTCACTCTCCTCTGCCACTGGATCAGTTCTATCTTCAGTTTGAGAAGCTAGCTTCTCTGAGGAATCTGAAGAGCAGTTCCGGTCTTTTTTCCCCGACTCTTCAGTGGTCCAGCTGTTCTCCATCACCATGGGAACCTCTGTTTGTGCAGAACTTCCCCCTTTCTCTGCATTGCGTTGGTTCAAGCTGATTTCAAGGGGAGTGAGGGGAGGAGACTGATGCTGATTGGTGGGCTTGTTGTTTAGAGGAGTGGGTTGCGTCTGGAGGGTGCTGTTGCTGTGTGTGGTGGGTTGTGTAATGTGTAATCTATTGTGTGTGTGGTGGTAGAGCAGTAAAGTTTTGGCTGCATAGATGGAAGGATGCAGTTCAGGGCTGGGGTTCAAATACTGTCTGTTGAGGTTCACCCCCCTGGAATCGGTTCTGTTAAAAGAGAAAAACCTCACAGTGAGATTAAACCACAGTTCCTCTCGTTAGATCCAGTATGTAACAATCAAAGAGTTGGCACTTCCTAACCTAACACACAGCTTCTTGCTAAAGCAGTGAGCATTCTCGTATTTTGTCCCTTTAAAACCAAAATCTTCCATGAATTATGCTGGAAACGTGAGTGAAGAGCCAAAACAAAGTCTTTTATAATTGTTATTAATACACTGTTTGCTAAATGTGTCCACATAAAATCATCAGTGGAGAAATCCATAAATCAGGACATTATTACTAACACATCCATTCACCCATCCATCGTTCGTTCCTTCTATCCATCCATCCATCCATCCATCCTTCCTTCCTTCCTTCCTTCCTTCCTTCCTTCCTTCCTTCCTTCCTTCCTTCCTTCCTTCCTTCCTTCCTTCCTTCCTTCCTTCCATCGTTCCTTTCTTCCATCCATCCATCCATCCATCATTCCTTCCTTCCTTCCTTCCTTCCATCGTTCCTTTCTTCCATCCATCCATCCATCCATCATTCCTTCCTTCCTTCCTTCCTTCCATCCATCGTTCCTTTCTTCCATCCTTCCATCCATCGTTCCTTCCATCCATCCATCCATCCATCATTCCTTCCTTCCTTCCTTCCTTCCATCCATCGTTCCTTTCTTCCATCCATCCATCATTCCTTCCTTCCTTCCTTCCATCCATCGTTCCTTCCTTCCTTCCTTCCATCCATCCATCGTCCTTCCTTCCTTTCTTCCATCCATCCATCCATCCATCCATCCATCATTCCTTCCTTCCTTCCTTCCATCCATCGTTCCTTTCTTCCATCCATCCATCCATCCATCATTCCTTCCTTCCTTCCTTCCTTCCATCCATCGTTCCTTTCTTCCTTCCTTCCATCCATCCATCGTTCCTTCCTTTCTTCCATCCATCCATCCATCCATCCATCCATCCATCCTTCCATCCATCCATCCATCGTTCCTTCCTTTCTTCCATCCATCCATCCATCCATCCATCCATCCATCCATCCATCCATCCATCCATCCATCCATCCATCCATCGTTCCTTCCATCCATCCATCCATCCACCCATCCATCCATCCATCCATCGTTCCTTCCATCCATCCATCCATCCATCCATTGTTCCTTCCTTCCTTCCATCCTTTTATTTTATTTTATTTTGGTCCTATGATTCTGTTTAATCTGGCTTTCTGGCTGTCTTCCTCTGTCTGTGAAAAAACAATGAAGTCTTTACGTTTTCTGCCAGTTCAAATGTTTCAGCAAAACTTTTCCGAATGGCCTTCTGTCAGGTTCCAGATTAAATAGTTACACTTTATGAACGTTTTTCCACATTTATCAGATTTCAAAACTTTATTGCAGTTCTGTTGTCTGCTAATTCTGCTGTTGGCTTCAGTTTTCTTCTACTATTTTTCTGGAGAGCACTTAACATTTCGGTTTTATGATAGTTCATTCCATTTCAGTGAAGTTCTTGCTTTCAGGATCCGCTCATTTCTGATGGCGTACAGTTTAGCATACAGCATTCAGATTTCATTTTTGCAGGAAAGGCAACATTTTCTAGTTTTATACTTATGTTGTGATAAAAAGTAGATAAGCTACAGCCCTGGAATGGGCTTCCTAAACAGAGGAATGTCTTGTTATCTATGTCTCATGAGACCTCCCTCCGTCAAGGGAAATCCAATCCACAAGTAGCAGCTAGCTAGTAGAGAAGCTACTAGAGACTTTTCAGCCGAAAACATTAAAGCAGACATACTTGGATCTGCAGATTAATATACTTAAAAAATACTTTGTTATCAGAACTGATGCAGATTTTTTTATCCTGTCTTCTAACCCAGGATAAGTTTCCAACTGGAGCTAAAACTGAAGCTAACAATGGTGCTAAAAAGCACAGAGTCAGTTAAAGTTTCAAAATTTGAAAAACCTGCAACCTTCAACTCACTTTCTAGATCAAATCACTGCTTTGTGGTTGTCTGCAACAAAGAGACAGAATGTAGGTTGTGGTTGTAATGTGGTAAAATGAAAAGGCCTTAGGGGTGTGAATACTTCTGTAAGCCACTGTTTGTGTCCCTGTTTGCTGCTAAACGCTAAAGGTTTACCTGTAGTGTCCTCGGACAACCCCGTCAGGGTTGAGCATTGGGATGAGCTTGAACACAAACATGTTGCGCAGCATGTGCGCACGTGGGTCATCTCGTCGAAGAATGAAGTTGAGGAAACCGTTAAACACAAACGAGGACGGAGTTTCTCCTGGATGCACACGGCTGCTGAGGAAGAACACCTGCAAACACACACAGGACAGGAAGGAGGAAGGATGAGCTTCCCACCATCACAGGAGCAGGATTTCTGCAAATGCACTGGATTATCAAAGCCCAGGGAGAACGTTACCCTCTTGCCCGGGAAACGATGTGGTCTGGGAGTGTTGGTGTCAGGAAACAGCTTGGGTAGACATGCTTCTCTCTCATCCTGCATGCCGCTGCAGTTGGTCACAGTGAGGAGGTCCACCCTATTGCCATCGAGAGAGTTGCACAGCAATTCCCTATGATAATACACAGTGCCTGGTGGACTGAAAGGAAGATAAAAGAGATCAGAGACAATGCAAACAAGAATTCAGCTGACACTTCCAAAATTAAGTGTTTTATCTTGTCTTTGTTTACCTGCTCGGACTGAGCTGAGCAGCATTGGGGTAGCTCTGATCCAGCTGCTGCAGCATCTCCTGACACTCATTGTAGGAGAATGGGTAGGAGAAGGAGAAGAAGGTGGTTGCTCCACGCACATCCAGCAGCCGGTGAGTGAAAGACAGAATGAACTGGTTGTTTACAATCTACAAAGAAGCAAAGGAGAGAATAAGAATGATAGGCAGTCTGACATTCCTGTGCCTCTTTGTATGTTGGTTTCCAGCAGCCTTAAAAAGTGAGCCTATACCTCTGTTGTGGGTCTGTCCCGGATTCTTTCCCAGCGGTTCTTGCCTGGTAAGGTCCGTACGAGAGGAGCCATACCCTGGCTATAAAGCTTTCTCTGGTTGTTCATGTTCATCACATTAATCTTCAGCAATTTCCCCGGCATGGCTCCCCGCACACTGAAGTAAAACCAGGATCTGAAAACAACATTTCAGAAACATTAGACAGCAGGTGAGACAATGATGTAGATGAAACAACTTTGTTTGAAGAGGAGCATTTACCTGTTTCCATTCTCGTATTCTGTGCCTGCACAGTCTGGCTGGGTCCAGACATTGAATTCGTAGTCAGGGGTGAGGTGTGGCCCTGAGAGGGAACTTCCCACAGAGGGTCCATCAGAGGGGGGGCTTGAGTTCCCTTTTTCTACCTTCTCCACTCGGGCTAGGTTCCCTGAGTCAAACTTGGAGCTAAACACGATGTTACCAAAGCGGACCTCCATGCCTCTTAGCTTTGGGCAATCTTGCCTTTCAGTTATTTAGTGCCAGTGGGACATCTGACACTGAGGGCCTGTCATAAACACAGAAACACAGCAGATATTCACACAATTAAACAAAAGTTGGATACATATTATACATCTAAATAGAGCAGAATATAAATGTATTCTCAAAAAATGTCTTTTACCTTTAATATTTCTGAGAAATAATTAATGTATAGTTAATAAGTACTGCATAAATGTGAAGTGAGAAAGGCCTTTAAAAGAAAACAAATCATAGAAACAACAGCAAATAAAAAAGCTAGAAAGCTAGAAATACATTGTTCACAGCACCAACGCCGCTCTGTGGTTGCTAAGAGAACTACAACAGCATCTACGACTAGAAAGGTGCAACGTTTCGTTTAACACATTCACAAAAAACAAACAATTAAAAATTAGTCTCATTATTTTTCTATAATGGCTAATTTGTTTTCAGCTCTTCTAATTCGAATAAAACTCTGAACAGGACGATACAGCCACGGCCTTGTTGGGGATTTAAAACACCAACAGCTGACTTACCGAGCACAGAGAAAGGGGGCGTCAAGGCAACAGCTTAGAAAACAAAACTGGCCTCGCTTGTTCATATTGTCTAAACAAACACATGAGCCAAACCACATAAACGTCCGCTGCAACTGTCGTTACAAAACCGTTAACATTTATTTTAAGCTCGTGGACGTCTCGAAGCTACTGAAGCTAACCTAGCCGTTAACCTCACAGCCACTGCTCGGAAAAGGACATTTTTTAACAAAGTGGTTTTTTTTTTACTTGCTCATTACCAGCACATTTATCACCCAACTGCTTTTATACGTGAATAAACGAACTGTTAGTCTTACCTGGTTATTTTCGGTCGGTGTCCATTTTTGTTGTCATCGTCCTCTCTAACCCTCAACGCATCATTCTCTGTGCTGCGTTCAAGTTTATCGGGAGATACGGGTTTGCCTGGAATTTTCTGTCGCCTCCCTGCAGAGATGTGCAGTCTGCTTGACCAAAACGGTCTTTTCCTCAAAAATAACAATACCAAATCAGTAATATAATTAAAAGAAACTACTCTACAAGCATAAATGAAATAACAGTTCATATCAATACATCGGAAAATAAATGAAACGAGCAGACATTGGAGAATATTAGTTTCCTTTAATTGAATGAATAACGTCTACTCTTATAAGTGCAATTAAATATTTAAATCTGTCTTTAGTGCAAAAGCTTTTTTTTTTTGCAATGAATCATGGGGTGAGCATGGATTGTGGGATGCTAGATCTGTTTATATTATATTATATTATATTATATTATATTATATTATATTATATTATATTATATTATATTATATTATATTATATTATATTATATTATATTATATTATATGGTTTATGCAGCAGGAGTCCATAAACTATATAATCCCTTTCCACCATGAAAACAAACAATAACAAAATCTGAAACAACCAGAGTTAAAAACGTCCTTAATATATAATTATAACAATTATATTTTGATTTAATTTCTGTGGTCAGACATTCACATCCAAACTCATGCATGTACACGTGTGAGTTTGTATGTAACAAAATAAGAGGTTAACTGTCCACAGACACGCATAACAAGAAACATTTGCTGACAATCAAATAGACCAATGATCCATTTCTGCTCTGGGAATGCACTTTCTATGTACATAGTTTAATATTTTTCTAAGTATCTAAATATCTTTTTATTGAAGATTCAAATTCTTCCAAGGGTTAAAAGGGTGTTTGATATTTAACATCTGAGCTTTCATAACCAGGTGTCTCCAAAACATTTTTATTAGAGGTCTCACCATTACAATAAAGATTCTGTATTCTTAGATAAAATGTCTTGTATGAATAATCACATTGTTGTAGGTACATTCTATTTTAGAATGTCTAAAGCAGTGGAACAACCAAAAAAAATGTAATGACATGACCTATAAGTGGTTTTTCCGACAATTATCATTCAATAGTACATCCATATATTAAAACCACTCCTATCTTTTCCTCTCCTGTGATTGTGTGACAAAAGGCGGCATACAGCCTTAAAGGTATAGTGGAGGATTTTCACGAATGTTTTAAAAGACCTGCCCTCTCCACTTTAAAAAAGGAAATACACATGCACAACCCTGTACCCGCTCCATAGAGGGAACGCCTATTAATCACGTGCGAGAGCTTGCAAGAGCCCATTTCTCCTCATGCACGCTCTGTTTAAAAGTTGCTGTTTGCATCTCTAATACAAGCTTACTTTCCAACAAAAGATTTGCAATTTTTTTTCTATGTCAGACTCACCACCAGCAAGTAAAAATGGGGATGAGCACGTAGGACAGCTCACAATGATTGACAATTAGGAGGACCACTTATTGTGATGAAAAGAACATCCTCCGCTATATCTTTAATTTCCCACCAATCTGTCATGGACACAAAAAGAAACTAACCACATGCACCCAGTCTAAGTTCCAAGGGTAACTGAGAGTGACTGATAAACATTAACACCTGTCTTTTCTTTCACTGAATCCAAGTGAGGACATTCAAAGGTTCGCCTCAATCGAGAATTCAGCCCAATTCAAAACAGAAACTGTAATTTCTCATGAAACTTTCAGTCTCCAAACTCTGCAGCTGTTTACTGAATACATAAATTGTCAGATTTACTCAAATTCTTTTGGATTCTATGTCAAGGCGAGAAAAGAAGTTCAGCAACAACAATCAGACTAATTATTAGAAAAAAATTTTTAAACCTGTTTAAAGTTGCCTTGATTGGAATCTATCAGCTGTGACAGGATCAAATATTGCTGTTCAATTTATAACCAAAAGAAACCATTAAATCAACAGAAAATTCTATTCTGATCACCAGTGCAGTTAAACAAAGGGGTGGATCTATCTCTGTTCTTTATATATATATACACACTGGAACCTATAGTTAGAAATATCTAGTGTCGAAGTTTATCCAAATTATGTAAATCAATATCAATTTTTAACAGTTATTATTGCTATATGTGACTCTTATTTCATACCAATCAAACATATAGTTGAGTTTCTTGAATGCTGATTGGGAAGAAAAACAATCTTTCAGAACTTGTTCTTACTTCTGGTGATTTGTTCTGCAATCAGCATTGGACTAATTTAAAAGAGGATGATCTCTTGTTTGTTGATGAGATGACTGTAGATTTGTGCCAATTTCTCTTCACCTCTGGTTGTAAATGAATATTAGTTTTTCCTATTTGTTATGATAATCAGAGCTTCAATTTCAGATCTGTTTGCTCACATAATGTAAGAGGGAGGTGAAGCGTCTGCTGGTTCTTCTCTTGATTTATGGAGTCTTGAAGTTCTGCCTCAGGCGTTTATTGGCTTCAAACTGTTTTATTTGTTTGATATAAGACATTTTGATTACTCTGCAGACTAAGTTAGAGTGGCTTTTGTTTGTAATACAAAATGTAGATTTATGCCTGATTCTTGTTTCTTTACTGAAATGTTCTGTTAAGGACTCGGCTAATATTAGAGTTCTTTAATTGTCCCTTTACTGTTTCTTCTGAATTCTTTAGTTTCCATACAGTTGTATACTTTCATCTCATCTTCATTTTGTTAAACATAGACCATAAATTAACTTTACTCTGTATTTGACTATAAAAATAAAAAAAAACTGAAAGCCTATATAGTAATATGATCATGTCCATTTTGTAGTTTTTGGCTTTAGTAAAAAGTTTCTAAGAATTAGCTTCAGATGAGTCTGTTTTAAAGGTAATACATGCCTTTACTATCGAGTTAAATGTTGGGATTCAGTCAAAAATTTTTTTCTTTAACCAATAGTTTAAAAAAAACTTAAAATTCCTGCTTTTTACCATTTATTTCATGTCTCAAAATTAAGAATTACAACCAAAACATTTTATTATCTCTCCTTTTTTAGTTAAATACAAAACAAATAAAGGTTTAGGACCTACAATGAGTTCATTGTTTCATTTTCTGTTGGGCTCAAAACTAACACTACTCTCAATGAATCTGCAGCACAGACTTTTATGCTTTTTAAATCCCTAAAATTAAAATAAAGAAATCAACTATCAACAAGGAATGTCATTAACTGAGAGTAGCATTACCTCAAAATATTGTTACTCAAATTGAAGTATAAAGTTGCCATACATAGATACACAGTCCACTGAGTAACTGTTGATTATAACATCTAATTTTGTCAAAATGACGTATTAGAAATGTGAAGGCAAATAATTATTCTGGTATCCCAAAGAACATTTAAATTGTCAGTGTAAAACCAATACCTATTGGCATAAGAAACAAACTGATGATCTAACTGACTGTCGGACTGATGATATGGACATGTGGAAGCCAATATTTACAAAGTGTATGTAAGAAAGGAAGTGATGTGTGTATAGGCTTGTGTTTCTCCAGAAAAGGCAAATCAGTTTTGACTGCTTGGCGGGAAACGCTGTTAACCAACAGCTGGCAATTTGTATCATTTTTTCGTTTTATAAGCAAGCAAAAGTAGGAATAAATCGGCTTTTAATTGTAAGAAGAGCATCAGGACATTTCCTGGTTATCATCTCACCCTAGCAAATGCACGTCAACCATAATATTCCAGTGGCTTTAAGCGTCGGCTTAGCCCCAACAAGACATTTACTGAGAATGTTGTTTAATTAATACTCCTGCTAATATGCAAACTAGTATGCAGAAATTCAAAATGGCATAAAATGATTAATTTAGGACACTGCTTAGTTTGTTTAGATTGACAAGTGCAAATCAGTTATAAATGTATTTATTCATTTTTTTGCATTACACTGCCATAGGTACAGATTTTTTGGAGATAATCCAATTCTTAATCCAAACATTATCCTGTAACTGTTGGACTCCACACGAGGCTCAGATAGATTTAAGTCCAGAATGAGAAACCACTGGTGTTTTAATCTTTCTCTAAACTTGTAACTGATATTTGTGATTATATATTTTATATAATTTACTTGTGTTTTTACGAATCTGTGTCTGTCTTTAACAAAGGTAAATATAATGAGGATGAATTTTAATATAAACATTGTAAAGTACTTATACCATTTACTATATATCTGCTTGACCCCCAAATGGCACATCAGGCTTCATGAGTTGAAGATTACATCACAACAATGACAATTTTTTAAGATGTTAGTATCACAGCAGCAGACCTTGAATTGTGTCTGTGTCTATTGGGGGTTTTAAAAGTAGTTGTTTGAGTTAAATTGTATCTTGGTAAGGGTTGCCGTCATGATCCTTACCCTGATAGCTGACCTAATTGCTCATTTCACTCACTTGTCTAACTCTCACCGGTTACCCATTTTCACTCATTTCATCCACCTGCTCGTGCTGCTTTATATATAGCTCAGTCACAACTATCAAGGCCAGATCATTGAAGTTGTTTGTTGAGTTTCAATTGGAGATAATTGCAGATTCCATAGATCACGTTCCCATTCTTGGAGGCCAGCGGTGAGAGGTATTTAGTTATCGCAGTGTTCCTGATCATGTCTGGTCTCTTATCCACTGAGCATGCTCTGTTCCTGTTCTTGGAACAGTAGAGGGAGCAAGTTTTAAAGTACCGTAGTTTTCCTGTTATCATGCCTTGTTACGCCTCTCAACTACTGAGCTTGCCATCTAGTATTCTCCCTGAACTCTCTGTTGGACTCTTGGAACCCTGAACCTGCCTGAACTATCTCTGGATTCCCGGAACCCTGAACCTGCCTGTTCTGATCAGAACCCCTTACTGGGTTACGGACTCCTGGATCTCTTAGCCTATCTGTTCTGAACTGATTCCGTGACCTTGATGCTGGTTCACTGGGGCTGCACCATCTGGTTCACTCTGGGTGGCCCCCGCTGCATCTCGTTTGGCAGTCGATAGGCTGGACCCTGCCTCGCTGTGAGAGATTGGACTGAACTGTTAAACCAGCCTCTTATGGATAAAGCTTTCCATCAGATTATCATAGTCACTTATCTGTGTTTTTTCCTAACCAGAGTGCCAGAAATGGGT